TGTTGGTGCTGATGATGACGATGAGGATGATGATGCTGATGCTGATGATGATGATGCTGATGATGATGATGATGATGACGATGATGATGATGATGATGATGATGATGATGATGATGATGCTGATGCTGATGCTGATGTGATGATGATGATAATGATGATGAATGATGATGATGATGATGATTATGATGATGATGATGGTGATGATGATGATGATGATGATGAGGATGATGATGATGATGCTGATGATGATGATGATGATGATGATGATGATGATGATGATGATGATGATGATTGATGATGATGATTGATGATGATGATGATGATGATGATGATGATGATGATGATGATGATGATGATGATGATGATGATGATGATGATGATGATGATGATGATGAGATGAGGGAGGAGAGAGGAGGAGGAGGAGGAGGAGGAGGAGGAGGAGGAGGATGAAGATGAAGATGAAGATGAGGATTGAGGGGGAGGAGGAGGAGGAGGCGGAGGAGGAGGAGGAGGAGAGGAGGAGGAGGGGAGGAGGAGGAGGAGGAGGAGAGGAGGCGGAGGCGGAGGAGAAGAGGAGGATGAGGATGAGGGGAAGGATGAGGATGAGGATGAGGAGGATGAGGAGGAGGAGGAGAGAGGAGGAGGAGGAGGAGGAGGAGGAGGAGGAGGAGGAAGAGGAGGAGGAGGAGGAGGGAGGAGGAGGAGGGAAGGGAGGGAGGAGGAGGAGGAGGAGAGGAGGAGGAGGAGGGAGGAGGAGGAGGAGGAGGTGGATGCGGGAGGGGAGGAGGAGGATGAGGAGGAGGAGGAGGAGGAGGAGGAGGAGGAGGAGGAGGAGGAGGAGGAGGAGTAGGAGGAGGAGGAGGAGGAGGAACGAGGAGGCGTGGGAGGGAGGGATGGAGGGGGGGAGGGAGGGGGGGGATGGAATGGAGGAGCGGGGGAGGGTGTTGGAAGTAGGCGGCAGGCGCTGGTCTCCGAACATGCTCTTTGCGCGGCACCGCGCGGAGGCATGCACCCTGATCACCTACTACAAGACATCGACCAGCAGCAACTGCTACTTTCACTGCGAGTCGGCGGCGAGGCGCGCTTACGGAGATCAGGGGCGCCATACATCACGACGACGAGACGCTCCAAGATGTCCACGAATGCGCAGGCCCCGCGGCCAGTGCCGCCGACCCCGAAGGCGGGACCTGCCCCCGGAACCCCGGCTGGCGACCCCCCCCCGGGACCCGCCGCGATCGCCCAGGGGGCAGTATGAGGAAAACGAGGAGGAAAAGGAGGAAGAGGAAAAGGAGGAGGAGGAGGAGGAGGAGGAGGAGGAGGAGGAGGAGGAGGAGAGAGGAGAGGAGAGGAGGAGGAGGAGGAGGAAAAGGAGGGAGGAGGAGGAGGAGGAGGAGAGGAGGAGGAGGAGGAGGAGGAGGAGGAGGAGGAGGAGGAGGAGGAGGAGGCCCCCCCTGTTCCGCTCCTCCCTCCGCCCCCCCCGCGACCCTGGCAGGGAAATGAGCAAGAGAAGGGGCTTCCCCTCGACTTGACTACGACGTTGCCTTTCCTTGCTCCTCAGTTTCCTCGGGACCGACGACGACGACGCCGACGCCGACGACGACGACGACAGCGCCTTCCACGCGCCGAAGCGTCGGCGGAGTTTCCAGACCTCCTGGCGGTCCTGTTGTTCCGCGCAGGCTCCAGAAACGAGGGCCGCCAGATATCTGAGATCCGACGTCACGAACAAGTCAGGAGGGAAAGAAACACACAGACACAATTAATCGTCGACTCCCAGGAAAATATGGGAAAATATGGTAATTGGGGGGGAAGACAAAAAACAGAAAATATGGAAAAATATGGGGAATCATTTTATTTGTGTGTATTTATTTGTGTGTTTGTGGGCCCCTTGAACAAGCTGCAACATCCTAAGACAAGCGCGCCCCGCCCATCGCTCTGCGACGCTCTTCGCGCTGGGCCGACCTGCGGCGAGTGCTGGTGCCGGAAGCTGGGGCGGAGCGCCCGGTGTGAGAGAGCTTCAGCGCCCGGATCTCAGGGATACTCTGGACTGGGGATCCTGGGATGGTAGTTTTCTCAAGGGGCGCAGGGACACACAAATGAATACACACAAATATGAAAAGATGCCCCATACTTGTCCATCTTTTCTGGGGGTTTGTGTCTTTCCCCCCCCACTTCCCATATCTTCCCATATATTTTCTTGGGGGTCGTCGATTCATTGTGCCTGTGTGTTTTTTCTCCCCTCCGGAATTTCGAGCCACATCCCACCCTGAGATCGCTGGCGCGGCTGCGTGGCGCGCAGGCAGCCTCCCCCCCGGCGGCGGTCCTTGCCGGTCTCCGCGGACCCCCCAAGCAGTCCCGGCTGTCCTCCGCATGTTGCCCGAATCGTCCGGGTGGTCTCAACACCTCAACCCTGGGGCGCGGAGCGCCCCAGGTAGGGGCCAGATGCGAACCCTACCCCTACCCCCCACGACTTCTGAGGGGGAGGGTGGGGTTCACTTCGTTCGGGTGAACCCCACCCTCCCCCTCAGAAGTCGTGGGGGGTAGGGGTAGGGTTCGCATCTGGCCCCCTACCAGGGGCGCCGCTGGAGGCGGCGCCAGGGTGCTGAGACCGCCCACGACTACACTTTGGGCGATGCTTAAGAAGACCCAAGTCTTCGGCCAGAGTCTCGAGTATTCTTAATGCTTCAGTGTAGATCCTAGGATCAGAGTCGACATCCTGGGTTTTTTCTCCAAATTCTGAGCCTATGAATTTCTGAACCCACGATTTCTAAAGCATTTCGCAGAGTGTATTCGATGGGCCTGCCGAGGGCAGCTGGGACTGCTCGGGGGGCCCGTGGGGGCCCGCCGGGGCCATAGCTGCCTGTGGGCCGTCTGCGCGCAGCCCGAGGTCTTTTGCCACCCGCCCCACCGGGCGGAGTTCCAGGGGGGCTGCTGGTGTCTGGCAGCTGGTGTCGTTTTGCTGTCCTCCTCCTCCTCCTCCTCCTGCTCCTCCTCCTCCTCCTCCTCTCCGTCCTGCTCCTCCTCCTTACTCCATCTTCCTGCTCCTTCCTCTCCTACTCCTTCCTCCCTCCTCATCCTCTCCGTTCCTGCTCCTCCTCCTCCTCCTCGCCCCTTCCTCTCTCCTCCTCCTGCTGCTCCTCTCCTCCTCCTCGAGACGGGGGGGGGATTGTGGAGTACCTCGGGGTCGGGGGCGCGCGCGCGAGGCTTTCGCACTGAGTTCGCGCGTGTGTTTCTCAATGATATGCGTGCTCTGTAGAGGCCTCTTCTCTACTCCCCCATTCGTCCTCTCCTCCCCTCCTCCTCCTCCTCCTCCCCCTCCTCCCCCCCCTCCTTCTTCTCCCCCTCCCCCTCAAAGGAAAGCAATGACGGTTTTTCGTTTTTGGGTGTGCCCCCCCCCCCCCCAAAAAAAAAAAAAAAAAAAAAAAAAAACGGGGGACCCCCCCCCCGCCCGTTTTTTTTTTTTTTTGTTTTTTTTTTGGGGGGGGGGGGGGGGGACGAAAATCCTCCTCCCCCTCCTCCTCCTCCTCTCCTCCTCTCTCCCCTCCCTCTCCCCCCATCCGCCTCCTCGCCCTCCGCATCCAGCCTCGGGGTCCCCCTCAAAGGAAAGCAATGACGGTGTTTTCGTTTTTGGGTGTGCCCCCCCCCCCCCCCCACCCCCCCCCCCCCCAAAAAAAAAAAAAAAAAAAAAAAAAAAAAACGGGGACCCCCCCCCCGCCCGTTTTTTTTTTTTTTTTTTTTTTTCGGGGGGGGGGGGGGGGGACGAAAATCCTCCTCGCCCTCCTCCTCCTCCTCCTCCTCCTCCTCCTCCCCCTCCCTCTCCCCCCACTCCGCCTCCTAGCCCTCCTCCTCCAGCCTCGGGGTCCACGCGGCGCAGATTTTTTTGGATGGGGGGGCGCCAGGAGAAAAAAAACACAGGAATGCGACGTGGCCACATCTGCCCTCCCTCCCTAGAAGGATTCCTATTGAACGCCCCCATAAGAAGGATTCGCAGTGAAATCCTCGACAGAAGGGTTCCTATCCAAACCCTCCACTGAATGAGTCCTACTGAAATCCTCCATGTGGATTCCTATTGAAACCCTCACTGAATGATTCCTACTGAAATCCTCGAATGGCAATGGCAATGGCGATGGTAATGGTAATGACAGTGGTAATGGTACTGGCAATGGCTACGGTGATGGTAGTGGTAGCGGGGTAGCGAGGCAATGACAATGGCAACGGTAATGGAAATGGTAATGGCGATGGCAATGGGAATGGCAATGGCAATGGCAATGGTAATGGCCATGGCAATGGTAATTGTGAGGGTAAAGGTAAGAAAAGAGGTAAAAGGTAATGGTACTGGCAATGGCAATGGCAGTGGCAATGGTACTGCTAATGGGAATGGAGATGTGAGTGGGAATGGGAACGGGAACGGGAATTGAAATGCTAGTGGTAGCGGTAATGGCAATAGCATTGGTAATGGTAATGGTAAGGGAAATGGTAATGGCATTGGGAATGGGAATGGGAATGAGAAGGGGAATTCGAATGGTAATGGCAGCGGTAATGGTAATGGTAATGGTAATTGTAATGGTAATGGGAATGGGAACGGGAATGGGAATTGTGGCAATGGTAATGGTAGTGGCGAATGGCAATGGCAAAGGTAATGGTAATGGTAATGGTAATGGTAATGACAGAGGTAATGGTACTGGCAATGGTAATTGTAATGGTAATGGTAACGGTGCAGCGCTTGGTAATGGCAATGACAATGACATTGGTAATGGTAATGGCAATGGCAATGGGACTGGCAATGGCAATGGTAATGGCAACAGCAACGGCAATGGTAAGTGTAATGGTAATGGCAATGGTCGTGGGAATGGGAACGGGAATGGGAATGTGAATGGGAATGGGAATGGGGACGGGAACGGGAATGGAAGTGGTAGTGGTAGTGGTAACGGAAATGGGAATGATAAGGGTAAGGGTAAAGGTAAAGGTAGAGGTTAAGGTAATGGTAATGGTAATGGAATGATAATAGTAATGGTCATGGGAATGGGAATGGCAATGGTAACGGTACTGGCAATGGTAATGGCAGTGGCTAATGGCAATGGCAATGGCAATGCGAATGGTAATGGTAATGACAGAGGTAACAGTAATGGTACTGGCAATGGTAACGGTAATGATAGTGGTAACGGGGTAGCGATTGACAATGACAATGGCAACGGTAATGGTAATGACAATGACAATGGGAATGGCAATGGTAATGGCCATGGCAATGGCAATGGCAATGGTAATGGTAATGTGAATGGGAATGGGAATGGGAACGGGCATGGAAATGGGAATGGGAATGGGAATGGGAATGGAAATGGCAGTGGTAGTGGTAACGGAAATGGGAATAGTAAGGGTAAGGGTAAAGGTAAAGGTAGAGGTAAAGGTAATGATATTTGTAATGGCAATGGTAATGGCCATGGCAATGGCAATTGTAATGGTAATGGTAATGGTAATGGCAATGCCAATGGTAATGGTATTGGGAATGATAATGGTGACGGTAACGGTAATGGTAATGGTTATGGCAACGGTAACGGGGTAGCGATTGGCAATGGCAATGACAATGGCGATGGCAACGGTAATGGTGTTGGTAATGGTAGTGGCGAATGGCAATGGTAATGGTAGTGGCGAATGGCAATGGCAATGGCAATGGTAATGGTAATGGCAATGCCAGTGCTAATGGTAATGGTACTGGGAATGGTAATGGTGACGGTAACGGTAATGGTAATGGTTATGGCAACGGTAACGGGGTAGCGATTGGCAATGGTAATGACAATGGCGATGGCAACGGTAATGGCAATGGCAATGGCAATGGGAATGGCAACGGCTAATGGCAGTGGCTAATGGCAATGGCAATGGCAATGCGAATGGTAATGGTAATGACAGAGGTAACAGTAATGGTACTGGCAATGGTAACGGTAATGATAGTGGTAACGGGGTAGCGATTGACAATGACAATGGCAACGGTAATGGTAATGACAATGACAATGGGAATGGCAATGGTAATGGCCATGGCAATGGCAATGGCAATGGTAATGGTAATGTGAATGGGAATGGGAATGGGAACGGGCATGGAAATGGGAATGGGAATGGGAATGGGAATGGAAATGGCAGTGGTAGTGGTAACGGAAATGGGAATAGTAAGGGTAAGGGTAAAGGTAAAGGTAGAGGTAAAGGTAATGATATTTGTAATGGCAATGGTAATGGCCATGGCAATGGCAATTGTAATGGTAATGGTAATGGTAATGGCAAGCCAATGGTAATGGTAATTGGGAATGGGAATGGACGGTTAACGGTAATGGTAATGTTCTGGCAAACGGTAACTTGGGCACTTGGGAATTGGCAATGGGCAATGACCATGGTATACCTTTCCTCGGAAATACTACCGGGCCTTGCTTTTTTGAGAATGGCAATGGTAATGGTAGTGGCGAATGGCAATGGCAATGGCAATGGTAATGGTAATGGCAATGCCAGTGCTAATGGTAATGGTACTGGGAATGGAAATGGTGACGGTAACGGTAATGGTAATGGTTATGGCAACGGTAACGGGGTAGCGATTGGCAATGGTAATGACAATGGCGATGGCAACGGTAATGGCAATGGCAATGGCAATGGGAATGGCAACGGCAATGGCAATGGCAACAATGGCCATGGCAATGGTAATGGTAATGGTCATGGTCATGGTCATGGTCATGGTAATGGTAATGGTAAATGGTAATGGGGATGGGAATGGGAATGGGAATTGTAGTGGTAATTGGAACGGGAATGGAAATGGGAGTGGTAGTGGTAATCATAATGGCAATGGTAATGGTAATGGAAATGGTACAGGTAACGGTAATGGTAATGGCAATGGTGATGGGAATGGGAATTGTAATGGTAATGGCAACGGTAATGGTAATGGTAATGGCACTGGCAATGGCAATGGCAATGGCAATGGCAATGGCAATGGTGCTGGTAATGGTGCTGGTAATGCTAATGGTAATGGCAATGGTAATGGTAGTGGCTAATGGTAATGGGAATGGCAATGGCAATGGTAATGACAGTGGTAATGGTAATGTTAATGGTAATGGTACTAGTAATGGTAATGGGAATGGTAACGGGGTGGCGACTGGCAATGGCAATGCAATGGCAATGGCAACGGCACTGGTAATGGCAATGGCAATGACAATGGGAATGGCAACGGCAATGACAATGGCAATTGTAATGGCCATGGTAATGGTAATGGTAAAGGTAAAGGTAAAGATAAAGGTAAAGGTAATGGTACTGGTAATGGTAATGTGAATGTGAATGGGAATGGGGATGGGAATGGTAATGGTAATGGTATTGGGAATGGGAATGGGAGTGGGAATGGGAGTGGGAGAGATTGAGAGAGAGAGAGAGAGAAAAAAAAACAAAAAAAAAGCGAGAGAGGAAATATCATAATAATGATGAGGAGCAACGTGCAATATCGTAAAAAATCGTCTGAAACCCACAGGTACTCCACAA